TATTACCCGCCACACATCCAACTTGTTTATATATTTTTTTCATTAGTTTTGTATATTAATTTTTAGAGATATTTTAATTATAAATATTATAAAAAAAAATACAATAATGTGTCCGGGGAAGGTTTGATAAAATCAAATCCGAAAGGGCGACGGGGCAATTAGGAATGGAAAATTTTGCTAACTGTGTGACGGGTGAGCGCAAAACCCACCACGTACCCCATGGCCATTCCTACCCAAATTGATGTTCTACATAGATATTGTACATTAAATAATTGGGTAAATTACAAACACCCCTGAGGTATGGTCAAATTACAAAAACACCCCTCTTGTTTGAATAATTACAACCACCCCCCTCAACTCATCAAATTTAGTGGAATCTTCGAGATTATATTGAATATTATCACTTTTGTACCCGTTTTATCCCATTCAAACTCTACATTATGAAGCAAGATGATCATAATATGTGATTTTTAGCTTGTATATATATCAGTTTGTGGTGCATCGGAAACTGTATTTTTTACACAAAAAGAGTACAAACTAGATCACATTTCACGGAATCTAGATGACTATGTTGAATTTGGCACCATAGAGGTGGAGGTCTAAGAAAAAATCATAGTTGAGGGGGGTAGATGTAATTATCCAAACAAGAGGGGGATTTTTGTAATTTGACCATACCTTAGGGGGGTGTTTGTAATTTACCCTAAATAATTCAGTAACTCATTAATAAGTACGAGGGAATACATATGATGATTGATGATGGTCAATTCGACACCATCGGGCCGAACATTCCCAAACTAAGTTAGCGGGTTAAAAGCCTAATGGACTCCGAGAAAAGCTAGATGAGCAGACATGAAGGACAGTTCAACACTATTGGGCCGAACTCTCACCACTTTGAATCATTGGGTCGAAAACCTAACAAATCATGAAGAATTCGCTCTATACGCTTCGAGCTCGCCTGGTCGAAGTTGAATAATATAGGATTCAATGTATCTAGCAAAGAGAGTCCACCATCTTTGCCCCGTATGCCTTCGATAAAGATAAATAAGATGTGGTAGCTGGCGAGCTTATCTAATGACCGTTGCCGTTGGAAGACTTGGATTGGGGACTCTCCATAAATATTTAAAGGAAGATGTGACGTGACGTCCACTGTCGAAATACACTGTACTTTTTTTTTTTTAAATAAATACAATGACTTCCAATGAATACAACTACTCTCACTTAATTTCTCAACAATAAAATCAAATACACGTGGGTAACCGAAGTCCACAACTACAATCTCGTATAATATCTCTTGAACAACAATCACCTTTGAATACAACTAGAATACAAAAAGATTAAACTCTATAAAACATTGAAGTAACTTTACTCTTAAGTGCAGTCAACACAATCATTCACTTATAGCACCTGCCACTGAAGTCCAATGCAAGTGCTATAAAAACACCTTACTCTTGAGTCATGCTCAAGTCTTGAATGAGAGCTTTAGTATGCTCGACACTTACAACTCTCGAGTTCCTCTACGAGTTCCATCGAGGAATGATTCTCAAATCCGCACTCCAAACCCTCCAAATTCTGCTCCGAAAACAGGTGCGGCAGCAAGTCTTTATTTCTCAGAATTTTGCCGACATAACTCAAACGACTCCTAAAGTTCAGGGGCAGGCTGCACTTCTTGCCGTCTTCCGACCACCGTCAATGACCTCCGCCGGCAAAATACTCTACCATGGGGACGCTGACTTCCTGAGTTTTCCACTCACGTGACCTTATCGTTGAAAAACCACGCTTAAGGTTTCGTGCAATTCATCTCTCTCGGCTCAATTGAATATACTTCTTTTCCCTTTCAATTTTTCTTCCAACAAAACCTCTCAATCCTTTTCTTTTACTCAAAATTTCCATTATTTTATATAATCTTTCGATCTATAAACGAGAAGAGAGAAAGCGAGAGAGCAAAAGAGAAAGAGAGAAGAGAGAGAGAGAGAGAGAGAGAGAGAGAGAGAGAGAGAGAGAGAGAGAGAGAGAGAGAGAGAGAGAGAGAGAGAGAGAGCACGATATGAGAGAGTGAGAAACTGTTTGAGCTTATAAAGAAACGAAGAGAAGAGAAACTTATCGGATATGAAGAAGAAGGATGATAACTCGCACGACACGCGTCTCTCTCCTAATTTCATTGGTTAATAACACTCAATTATCCAATTAACAAGCCCCTCAATTGCTTAATGGCCAAGTTTACTAAATTAGAGAATAATTATTATGCTTATGCCCCAAAATTATCACATAATAACACATCAGCCCTCTAAATCTCATTATTAAATACAATAACCTTTGTGTATGTGTGTGTGTGTGTATATATATATATATATACTAGTAATTGTACCCGTGCGATGCACGGGACAACAAATTGCATTCTTTTGATGTTGTAAGAATATAAACAAACGTTTGATGTATCGTATGATCGAAATTCTATTATACTGGAACATTATTAAGTATACTACACACAAAAAAAAAAAGGACATAACTTTACTGTTAAATAATTTTCCAAATGAATTGAATCAGCTAATACCAGTAGATTGAAAATTTGAACCAGGAAAAAAATCATCAATTATGTCTTCCATGTTGAGCTTAAAAGTAATTAGATTTAATAACTAAGTTAACATAATCAAAACTAAACTATCGACAACATACCATCGTAAAAGGCCATCTATACATCTTGCATCGGAACTAAGCCCTTCTCCACTGCCTCATTTTAAGGTTGTTTTGCCACTGTAATTAACAATTGGAAAATTAAGAAACAAAAATAAATATAAACAATAAATTAAATATCGCATACAAACAATAAGTCTTGAAGGTCGACTTCCAATAGCTTGTGGCTCCGCCCATTTTTGGTTAATTTTCTCAAATCATCCCTTTCAATAACATGTCCAATAACATATAAAATGAAATAATTGTTATACATAAAATTTGAAAACTTTGGTATAAATTATTGAAACACATAATTTAACAAAATGAAATTACCTATAAGCCATGATGGAAAAAGATGTAAACTAATTGCCACACATGCAATAGGATGAAGAAGAAGATAAGAAACAAAATCTAAAGTCGGGTTACCAAAAGAAGAAGCCTTAGGTATGGAAGAAATAAAATTCAAATGTTGCAGACATTCTGTAAAACGATGTCACAAAATCCGCTAGGGATGAAAATCAGATTTATTTACCCTTTTCTGTAAAAATCGAAAATCAGATTATTATAAATAATATCTAGGAGAATTTGATGAAAATCAATAATAATATTTAAAATAATATTTCGGAGATAAAAATTTGTTAAAAAAATCAAAAAATAATATTTAGGAGATAAAAATCAAAAAAAAAAATATAAAATAATAGTTAGGAGATAAAAATTTGATAAAAAATCGAAAATAATATTTCAAATAATGTTAATGAGATAAAAGTTGATAAAATATGAAAATAATAATTAGAATAATATTTAGGAGATAAAATATGATTAAAATCAAAATTATTATTTAAAACAATATTTAGAAGATAAAAATTTGATAAGAATCGAAAATAATATTTAGGAGACAATAATCTGATAAAAAACGAAAATAATATTTAGGAGATAAAAAACTAATAAAAACATGATAAAACTCGAAAAAAGTATTTAAAATATTATTTAGGAGATATAAATTTGAAAAAAGTATTTAAAATATTATTTAGGAGATATAAATTTGATAAAATTCGAAAATAATATTTAGGAGATAAAAATCTGCTAAAAGTTGAAAATTATATTTAAAATTATAGTTAGGACTTAGGAGATATAAATTTGATAAAATTAAAAAAATATTATTTATAATAATATTTAGGAGATAAAAATTTGATAAAAATAAAAAATAATATTTAGGAGACAAAAATCTGATAAAAATAAAAAATAATATTTAAAATAATATTTAGGGGATACAAATATGATAAAATTCAAAAATAATATTTAAAATAATATTAAGGAGATAAAAATTGAAAAAAATTTACAAATATGACATTAGGGTTTCTTAGGGTTGCCCTAGCGTTTCTTTTATATATATATATATATATATATATATATATATATATATATATATATATTACGGGGTGTTACAGAAGATGTGAGATTTCACGCGCCAATCATAATCAAATCTTGCACGAATAAACAAGTCCTAAAATAGGAATGTTTCCTTAAAAGTTATCTATATAAATAAATGTAGGAAAAAACGATTAGATTTACGTGCATACACAATCAAAAATATAATTTTATACTTTCTCTCAAGTTCTTTCTCTTTTTACTAATTTCCAGTCGTTTTGTTTGTCTCCGTTGGTCATAGTCCTGACAATATGTGAGCTTTTCTGGCGGTAAAGGGAGTACTAGGGATCGAAAAAGGGCCCTGAAGGTGCAAATTTTGCTCCATCAATGATGATGATGGTGATTTGATGACTACTGACTATACAATGTTAAGTCTTAGAGCATAATTTAGTCACTGGGGTTAGTTTGGGACGATCTAATTAGGAATAATAATTTTGTAATTGGAAAATGAACAAAGCAATCTTAAATAAAGGTAAGAATTTTATCCCATAGCTTGCGTGGTGAATTGAGCGAGGCGAGAATATAATAATTAAAGGAGATACCTTTTTCCTCTTTTCTGATCACAATTAATTCACACTCTTGATCAGGAAACCACATCTGGTAGTGACGGTCATTCTTTTTTCTTATCATCACCAACAAATACAATAATCATGGCCGGGAGTGCAGAACGAACAACTTTATTATTAATCATTAATAAGAGAAATATATATATATATAATATTCAAGCTAGTACTATATATACTAGCAATCTAGCATGTGCATATATGCATGATCAATATATAAGTAAACAAGCTCTTGGAATTAACTAATTAATTGATACAAAATAAGGAGCCGGCTGGCAGCAGCAGTAGTAGTAGAAATTGGGCGTACGATCAATTCAATTAGTCAATTAGTGGTGGTGGTTAAGGAGGTAATTCATGTACAAAAGCATGGTGAATTTTGAGTCCACCCTTCCACTTGCCACTCCACACTTCATACAGACCAAAGTAAATCTTCTCATCTGCTGCTGCTGCTGCATTATTATTATTATTATTAATAATATCATCTTCTTTGTGCTGCTGCTGCTGCTGCTCGGACGATGACGACATGAGCTTTGCTGTAAGAGATATGTGATGATCATGAGATTGGTGATGATCCTGCATAGAATACTTGGTCCACTCAAATTTGCCGTCTTTCCCTCTCTTAACCATCACATACAGAGGTGAGCTCCCCCACCCGAAAGCATCTGCCCCTAGTGACACTTCAAACCCCACTTCATATATCTTTTCTGGACTCGTTTTCTCTACGCACCCCGTTACCTCTAGCCAGCATACTTGGTTCAATTCTACTGCACTTCCCCTGCATTCATTCATTCATTCCCATTATTAATTTAATATGTATCATCAATAATTAAATTATATATACTAGCTTGTACTACTATACTGTCTCATGATCATATTTAATTAATTTAATTTATAGATCGATCACTCACTCATCTATGGGTACGTTCCAGTACCGGGTGTCATTGCCCCAAACAATGTTAAGATGCCTTGCTGGGATTATCATCCGCTTCGTCTCATCATCTACCTGCACAAAACAGAACATGCATGGATTTATATATTATATATGTCAAGTATAGATGAATTCATGCCAAAAAGAATCATTCGTCGCTCGTACGTGCACGGATCATGAATTATATATATATCATCGATCTACTGTACGGTGTTATACCTTGAATTCTAGTGAAGGATTTCCTGCATGGTGTGGAGTACTCATGTTAGTGGTACCCATTAATTATTTCAACCCTCAGCAAACCACTAGATAAATTAATAAAATCAACTGATCATATGAATTGAGGATATATATACATATATATATATATATATATATATATGAAGCTTCAAATAATCAAATTAAAGGTGGATGACACGACACGTAAGAGTTGTGAGGGAATATGATTTCTGGCTTCACTTGGCAAAAATGATGATAAACGTATATTACAACCACTGCTTTTTGGAATATGGAAAAGAATGATTTTGACAAATTCAAAATGGCCCTGTCAACTTACACGATTTATATATTCCCCACTCCAACATTATTATCACTTTTATATATATATATATATCCCGTTAATAGTCACATTACGTTAGATACTATGTAAAGATTATTTTATCAATTAGCCGTCTTAGCTCAGCTGGTAGAGCGCGTGGCTTTTAACCACGTGGTCGTGGGTTCGATTCCCACAGACGGCGTTTTCAATTATTTTTGGGTATTTTTAATTATTTTTGGTTGCCACCCAAATAAAGCCATACATACTTTAAGGCCCAATATACGGAACAATGTTGCCTCAGGCCCAATATGAATTTTACAAATGAAATGGTCTAGTATCTAATTTTATAAATGAAATGGTCTAGTAAATGTAAGACAACTGTGTTATCTAGTTTTTGAATGATTATTTATTGGGACTTACTTTTCGGGTTTAAAAATTGTTATTTGTAGTTCAAATCTAATTCCCTATCTCTCTAGAAAAAACCCTTATCATTTACAATAGAAGCCAATTTGGTATAACATCATTTTTGTTGAAGTGATATACGAACACAAATGAGCTCATCGGATGAAGATCGAGATACACATCATAACGAAGTAAAATTTTTGTCATTTCGTTCGAAAAATCTGGACATAAAGGGCAAACGCTCAACCCGGCGCCCGAAGCTGTTTTACACGCCCAAATTGGGCGTGCAAAACCCCAGTCCCACGCCCAAACCGGACGTGTGTAACTGCTTCAGGCGCCCTACTTGGGCACCCCCCCCCCCCTCCCCCGGTTTTTTTTTGCTTTTTATTTTTGTTATTAATTTTTTTTACTCTTTTTTCAGGAAAACCAACACAATACGGCTGAAGTTGAAGTCGATCATACTGATTATTTTACGACACCTCAATTGTTTGACTCCAATGACGAGCTGGTAGATTGGGCGAGGTCCGTTGCTAGAAATCTTCTTGTAAAGTGGTAAAAGAAGTGAC